GAGTAGAATCTGGGGTCTTAAAAGCTTTTGAGTGGCCAGCTAAGATACTCCACTGGTCTCAGCCCGTCTGGAGCAAGGGAGAATGAAGAAAACCAGAGACAAAAGGAAACCAAAGACTCAAGGGAAAGATCAGTCCAAAGGACTAATGGACCACAACTACCACAGCCTCCACCAGACTGAGTTCAGCACAACTAGATGGTGCCCGGCTACCACCACCGACTGCTCTGACAGCGATCACGATAGAGGGTCCCGGACAGAACTGGAGAAAAATGAAATTCTAACTCACAAAAGAAGACTAGACTTACTGGTCGACAGACACTGGAGAAACCCTGAGAGTATGGCCGCCAGACACCCTTTTAACTCAGTACTAAGTCACTCCTGCGGTTCACCCTTCAGCCAAAGATTAGATAGGCCCATAAAACAAACAATAATACACACAGCTCAACCATGTATATGAGACTAAATGGGCACACCAGCCCAGGGGCAAGGATGAGAAGGTAGGAGGGGACAGGAAAGCTGGGCGAATGGAAATGGGAACCCAAGGTCAAGAAGGGGAGAGTTTTGACACGTCACGGGCTGGCAACCAATGTCATAAAACAGTATGTGTATTAACTATTTAATAAGATACTAATTTGTCCTGTAAACCTTCATCTAAAGCATAATAAAAAAAATCTTTTTTTATAAAATAAATGTAATATTTTATTATAAAACTTGCTTATCCTTCTCTGGTGTTAATTAGCACAAAGATGGCTTTATTTTCAAAAGAGAGGACATTCTTTTCAGTCTTCAAAATATTTTTAAAAATAACTATATACTATAAAAGTAAAATGGTCACTGTAAACCATTCAATCAATTGCAGGCAGATAAAGTAGAAAGCCAAAGTCTCCAACTACCTGTCCCCTAAGATGTTTCTACTCTTTTACATATTCTATTGAAAAAAGAGAAATCGTACTATACATCTATAGCCTTATGATGATAATAAGCCAAGAAAAGAGTACTTTAAAAAGCCTTTACAACTGATTTATAATAATTTGTAAAACCACACAATCCACTGTAACCTTCTCATTAGAAAACAAGCAACAAAAGCAAAGTAAAGAGAAAAAAAAAATGGGACTATAATCGCAATATTTGAGGCCAAAGTTTTTTTTAGCAGACCATTTAGAAATGTCTTATTTCCACTCCAAATAATAAAAGGTTACAGACTAGCATTAAGAAGTAGCTGCCTTTTGAAGGTCAATCAATCATCTGGTTTTAGTAAAAATTAAAATATTATAAAACATTGACAGTGAAACATGCAGGGACCTCAAAGAAAAATGAGAGCCAACGATCTGGATGAAACATGACATTAAAAGCAAGAACAAGACACAAAGCTCTTTTTCTTTCCCTGGCCAGCTAAAAGGACTAGGAATTGCAGAGCCTGTCTTCACATGAGCAGAAATGGTGCAGGGACATCCCTATAGGCAGCAGCTGCTGCAAAAAGACCATGCGCATTCACCCAGTAACCGGGATGCACAAAGCACTGTGCAAACTTCCCATGAAGAATCTCAACCACTGACACTGCCCTCAGCCAGCAGACAGGAAATCTGAGGCTCAATGTAGCTAGCTGACGCACGTAAGTCATCAATGGAAAGCAAAGAGAGACTCATGCCCCAGGCCAAGAATTCGATTCCAGAAGCCAGAGACACCTTTAGAGTTGTGGTTTGTTTTTTGTTTTTTTTTAATTAAAGAAAAAAATAAGTGTGTAGGGGGAGGGGAGTATGAGTATAACCTTTCTAGAAGAGTGGCTCCTCGGGGCCAGAATGAATTTCAATACAGTGGAAACATTTTCCAGTTTAGAAGAGCAGTGAACAAAGCAGACACACATCATTGCCCTCAAAAGCTGACAGTTTAGCAGGGGCAGGGAGAAAGTCAATAAGGCCCATAGTGTGTTGCAGCCCTGGTGGCACAGTGGTTAAGTGCTCCGGCTGCTAAGCAAAAGGTCAGCAGCTCAAATCCACCAGCTTGGAAACCTTACTGGGCAGTTCTACTGTGTCCTATAGGATCGCTATGAGTCAGAATCGACTTGATAGCAACAGGTTTGGTTTTTTGTTTTTTAATACTGTGTTAGATGGTGATAAATGCAATGGTGACAAATAAAGCGGGGAAGGGGGTAAGGAGTGCTGAGAAGCAGCAGGTGTATATTTATGTAAGGGGGGGGGGGGGATCTGCGTAAAGACCTGAAGGAAGGGAAGGAACAAATACATGAAAGCAGATTTAAAGCAGTTTAATTCTAGGCTAGAAAATTAGCTCCATGATATAAGTAAAAAAATTCAAAGTTAACTTAACCCTCAAAGACCCTAGCTTTATTCTCCACAACATATTACTCAACTAATTCAGATGACAGCTGCTAAAAAGACAGAGAAACAGAAAGAAATCTCATCCATGACGACCAGAGCAGTAGGGTCTATTCAGGTAGCTCCTTTGCTTTATTAGCGAACAGAGCTCCTAATACACCAACTAGGGACCTCACTGGTACCCTTACATATCTCAGGCTCACATGTTAAAGTGCTGTCTTATATTTGGGATGCCTGTACAGAAGGCTCTTCCAAGGACTTTAATCCTGTGTCACCTCTGCCGTGATTACTGTTATTGTTAGTTGCCATCGAGTCAGTTCCGACTCACAGAGACTCTGTGGACAACAGAACGGAACACTGGTGGGTCCTGCGCCATCCTCACAATCACTGCTATGCTGTAATTAGGCCCCTCATATCTGCAGCCTGACTGAATTCAGGTGGGCAGTAGAAAAATGTTCAAGCCGGTGGGGGGGGGGCAGGAGTTGGCCCCATAAACACGATACAGAATACGGGAAGTGGGTAAGATCATAATTTAAGGAGAGGAGAGCTGATGAGTAGTAAATGAAGTAGAAGGAGTGTACTAGGACTCCAGGCCCCAAGCAAACTGGGCAGAAAGTGTTTCTGGGAATTTGGACCAAATTAGAGGAAAGCAGCAGAATACAACATCCATTTGGTGAGTTGGGGTCAGCAGGGCAAGGCTACTAAGAGTCTGTAAGCCCAAATGGATACTCAGCAATAGGTGCAGCTAGAAAAGAGGGGCACAGGGATATATAAGGAGGTGTTAGAAACAAAGACAAAGGAAGAAATGGAAACAAGAGGCCAGAAAGGTAGACTGTATAAGGATCTGGTATAAATGTAGAGCTCCAGGCTGTCATACAAGTATAGTGGGTTTGTGAATACAAGGACAGTAAATGCCTACCCATCCATCCTAATTTAAGTATCTTGCCAGTGAGGGTGTAGGAGCTGCCAGCTACATCCCTCTCCACCCAAAAGGCTGGATTCTGCTGGGGATTGTGACTGAAGAGCGTATCTATGACCCAGAGTCACATCTTCTTCACACTTGTCCTTTCTCCTTATATCTACTTATATGCTCTGTGTGTATGCGCATATGTGAACATATATATATGTATACACACACAAACACACACAACGTTAACTCCTAAAGGGTTCCTAAATGCAGGAAGAAATAAGTTTATAAAAACGATCTCCATTCTTTTCCTAATAAGAGTCCCCAGTCAGGGACTGATTCCACCTAGCTGAGCTGCTTCTAGCCATCACCAACACTTAATACGTGTTTAGCAATGGTGATACTGGATGGCACCTACTAGAGAGCCAACCTCAAGTTCCAGATAAGCCTTTCTGACAAGATACACATCACAGGAAACAAGACGACTGGGGCTTTAAGTTACAAAGAAAGGTACCTAATGCTCTTTAGAAAAGAAATCAGTATCTATCCTGAATTCTTTGTTACATTTCCTATCCTTAAAAAAAAAAAATTGGGGGGGCGGGGGTGGGGTGTAATATTCCCAGGAACTATTAGGAATCTTTACATCTTGTATTTTTCAAAATCATTTTTCCCAAGTGGGAAGATAAACACAGCTTTCAATTGTCTTAATCCCAATTGTTGAATGCAGTATGATTTTCAGGATTTGGTGGGTACCAGACACTAAGTTAATTTATATAAAATAGCACAGCAACAAAAAACTGGCAATCTGATCCAACATCAGAAAGACAAGGTATTAAAAGTGCTTCATAAATTAACATTTTTTTACACTCATCTATATCAGCAAAGCAGAATTAGTGTTATATAAAATACTGGTTTAAAAATGTTTCAGTAAGAATTAAATCCATTTTATTCTCTAAAGGAAAATAGTTCAACTGACAACTTTTTTAAAGGGGTTCCACCCTAAATGTGCCCTCTTTTGCATTCTGATGAAAAGTAGTTGATTGTTAACTTGGAAGTAAGATCAGTTAAGAAAAGAAGCTCATCCCTAAACCCCAATCAGTATCTTCAGATGCTGGGATAGGCCAAGAGATAGTGATTACTTTATCAGAAGTTTCTGATGGAAGTAGTGATGACTTTGTAAAGAATTTTTCATAAGTAAACATTTTCCCCTTAATTCTGTTAAACTTATAAGAGCTTTAAGCACTCATTCCACCATAAATTATCATTTCCAATTTGGGGAAAGTTCAGCTTTTATAAAAGATTCTGTAAGTCTCTCCCTCACACATTTTGAGAAATCTGTTAGTAACTGTGTTTTACTTTTGCCGCCAGTAAATTCATAATCGAATCTGCAGTCATACCATGGTAGCCATGTGAGAACGTGTCTCTTTCATATATGTTTTAGTTTTCCCAAAAATGTCAAGCCTCCAATAAATTAGTATTTTTGCTAATTCTGATTTTTATCTTTCAATTTATGACATCATTTTATCTCACCTATTTCTAGTTAGGCTCTGATTTTTGTGGAACAAGCAAGATATAAACAAAATCCAGTATCTATGCATTTAAAACAAAGATCTGATAATAATAGATGACTCTGATTTACTCTTCCTACCACGCTATACCAATGAACATAGAATAAAAGTGTTCATGAACTATGTATAATTTTCTAACATGATAAGATCATGTTTATTTTTCATAAGTAAAGATTCCACTCAAATACTTACCAGGAGCAATCGTCTCCAATGTATCAGAACTGATCTTCCGAGTGCTTGTACAGTGATGGAGGGTAGAACCCGAAAATACCAAGTAAAAAACTACATCATCTTCAACTTTGTCCTCTTCAGCAAGCAATACTGTAACAACGCAATCGCCCTAGGAAAGGAGAAGAAGATACAGCAAGTTTGCATTAGGAAGGTTTCTCTTGGGAGTCTATCTTTACGAAACATCAAATTTACGAGAAAATCAAATACATCATCTAACCTGTGCTCCCATTCTAGTAGGCTTATCAAACACTTATCGAGCACTTATTACATGCTTAGGGAGACCCTGGTGACGCAGTGGTTAAGCGCTACATCTGCTAACCAAAAGGTCGGCAGTTCAAATCCACCAGGCGCTCCTTGGAAACTCTATAGGGGCAGTTCTACTCCGTCCTATAGGGTCACTATGAGTCGGAATCGACTCGACAGCAGTGGGTTTGGTTTTTGTTTTATTATGTGCTAGGCAGTATTCTCGGCATTGAGAATACAGAATGAAGGTAAAAATAAGCTCACTGTTACTGTAGTGGAGATCATTAGACAAACAAGTAAACTAACAAGAGAACAGTTTGTATAATTTACTTAATAAGTGTGTAAAAAGGGCAGCTATCTAGGAAAATTCAAAAATAAGGCAGAGGATGGAAAGGTATATTTAATAGTTACATCCTCATACTCAGAATGTTCCTTGTGTTCCAGATGCAGCAATAATTCTCTAAATACCAATTTCCCCCATTTCCCCAGCAAAGATATGAATTCAGCAGAGCCTGTAAGAGGCCTGTGTGAAAATGGTATGTTGAGCATGAGCTTGGGATCCAGGTAAATCTGGGTTTAAATTCCACCTATAACGACTTTACTTAAATCCTGAAATCCCAAGTCAGTTTCCTTATAAGTGGAGGTAACACCTTCCTTCCTTACAGCTAATATATAAAAGCTCTTGGAACATGTTCAGCTCTCAGTCTGTGGTAATGTTATCAACCCATTCAGATGGAAGGCCACTTTTCTAACAATTTGCTGACCATCTGGCATCTCTGCTCTTCCTTAAATCACCCACCCCCCATTAAACCCACAAAAACAGACAAAAATATTGTGCCTATAACTTTTCCCATGATTTGGCAACTATTTCGAAGTTAAGACATCTCTTTCGTTTGGTTGCAAATATTCCTCTAGCAGTTTACGTACACTGGTTTTTTATTGAGGCAAGTGGCTAAATCAAATATATTCTGTGAAATACAGTCCTAATTACCATTCTCCCAATCTAAACATTATGTAATTCATGTTGTAATCATAAATAAGATTTTAAAACATTCTGTAGTATTATGAAAAGCACTACAAAAAGCCAATTTAAGGAAAGCCAAGTCATTTTAGCAATAAATAGAGGAGAGAATTCTCATCACTTAATAGCATTGTTTCCTTTCCATTTTAGCCATAATAAAGCCCACAAGAGAACCATGCCACCCTGTGGCCATAAGTTATTAAGCAGAAGGTAGTATTTTACTCAACATTGAAAACCAAAGCTTATAAAGTCAAACCTAGGATTAAGTCTAATAGCAGAAATGCTTCAGTAGGTCAATTCTGGAAACACAGAGTTAAATTATTTCCCAAAGACCTGAGTTTCTATCTTGTGTAGTACTCAAATCTGTTGCATACAACATATAAGAAGTTCAAAGAAACTACAATCCCAAATAAGCAGTATTTTGTTACAAAGCTAATTATTAACATGAATGTTGAACTGGAGAGTTCCAGAACACCCTAATACAAGGAATATCAGTAAGCAGAATTACATCACTGACTTGAGTAACCATTTAGAATTATGTGTTAGTCCTACATATAGTTCCTCTCTAGAAATACGTTTTAATTATATTGCGGTAAATAAAAGAAAAAAATTGCCGTTTTAACAATTTTTAAGTGTACAATTCAGTGACATTAATTATATGTACTATGTTGTTCAACCATCACTACTATCCATTTCCCAAACTGCTTCATCACCCCAAACAGAAACTCAGTTTACCCTTTAATCAAAAACTCCCCACTTCCCTCTCCCCCTGGTAACCACTAATAAACTTTGTCTCTATGCATTTCCCTATTCTAGATATTTCATATAAATGGGATCATATAATATTTGCCCTTTGGGTCTGATTATTTCACTCAGTATAATGTTTTCCCTATGGTAGCAACTATCCGAACTTCACTTCTCTTTATGCTGAGTAATATTCCATTGTATGTATGTACCACATTTTGTTTATCCATTCATCTGTTGGTGGACACTTGGGCTGTTTCCACCTTTCAGCTATTGTAACTAATGCTGCAATGAACACTGGTATACAAGTATCTGTTTGCGTGCCTGCTTTCAAGTCTTTTGTGAATATACCATATGCTGGGTCATATGCTAATTCTATATTTAACTTTTTGAGGAACTACCAAACTGGTTTCCACTCAGGCTGCACCATTTTACACTCCCATTAACAATGCACAAGGGTTCCAATTTCTCCATATCCTCACCCACACTGTTTTCGATAATAGCCATCCTACCCGGTATGAAGTAGTATCTCATTGCAGTTTTGATCTGCACTTCCCTAATGACTAATGGGAGACTTGGTGGCTCAGTGGTTAACAGCTCAGCTGCTAACCAAAAGGTCGGCAGTTCCAATCCACCAGCCGCTCCTTGGTAACCCTATGGGGCAGCTCTACTCTGTCCTACAGGGTCACTGTGGATCGGAATTGACCCGATGGGTTTGGTTTTTGGTTTAATGACTAATAGAATTTCATGTGCTTATTGGCCATTTCTATATATCTTCTTTGAAGAAACATCCTTTGCCCATTTTTAAAATGGGTTGTTAGTCTTTTTGTTGTTGAGTTGTAGGAGTTCTTTATATATTCTGGATATTAAACCTTTATCAGATACATAGTTCCCAAATATTTTCTCCCATTCTGTAGGCTACCTCTTCACTTTGTTGATAAAGTCCTTTGATGCAGAATAGTTCTTAATTTTGATGAAGTCCAGTTTATCTATTTTGTCTTTTGTTGCTCATGCTTTTGCTATCAGATATAAGAATATATTGTTAAAAACAAGATACTGAAGATTTACTCCTATGTTTTCTTCTAAGACTTTTATGGTATTAGTTCTTAATTTTCATATATAGTGTGAGATATGGGTCCTACTTCATTCTTCTGTATGTGGAGATCCAATCATCCTACCTCCATTTGTTGAGGAGAATATTCTTTCCTCCACTGAATGAATGAACTTGGCACTCTTGTCAAAAAGCAATTAACTGTAAGTGTATGGGTTTATTTCTGAACTCTCAATTCTATTCCACTGGTCTGTAAGTCTATCCTTATACTAGTACCACACTGTTTTGGTTACCATAGCTTGATTTTGAAATAAGGGAAATATGAATTTTCCTACTTTGTTCTTCTTTTTCAAGATTGTTTTGGCTATTCGTAGCCCCTTGCCATTTCATATGAATTTGAGGATCAGCTTTTCCATTTCGGAAAAAAAGGCCGCTGGGATTTTGACAGGGACTGTGTTGAATCTGTAGAGGACTTTGGGTAGTAGTGACATCTTAATAATTTTAAGTCTTCCAGTCCATGAACACAGGGTGTCTTTCCATTTATTTAGGTCTTCTTTAATTTCAGAAATGTTTTATAGTTTTCAGTGTAGAAGTCTTTCACCTGCCTGGCTAAATTTATTCCTACATATTTCATTCTTTTAGATACTATTGTAAATGGGACTGTTTTCTTGATTTTTTCAGATTGTTTTTTGTTGGTGTATAGAAATATTACTGATTTTTGTGTGTTGATCTTGTACCTTACCACTTTGCTGAATTCATTTATTAGCTCTAGGAACTTTCTGTGGAATCTTTCAAATTTTCTATATATAGGATCATGTCTTCTGTGAATATAGTTTTACTTCTTCCTTTGCAATTTGGATGCCTTTTATTTCTTTTTCTTGCTGAAATGCTCTGGCTAGAACTTCTAGTACAATATTGAATAGCAGCAGTGAAAGCAGGTATCATGGATTGAATTGTGTCCCCCAAAAATATCTGTCAACTTGGCTAGGCCATGATTCCCAGTACTGTCCACCATTTTGTCATCTAAGGTGATTTTCCTATGTGTTGTAAATCCTATCTCTATGATGTTAATGAGATGGGATTATTGGCAGTTATGTTAACAAGGCAGGACTCAATCTACAAGATTGGGTTGTGTCTTAAGCCAATCTCTTTTGAGATATAAAAGAAAGGAGTGAGCAGAGAGACATGGGAACCTCATATGACCAAGAAAGTAGAGCCAGGAGCACGTCTTTGGACCTGGGATCCCTGCGCTGTAAAGGTCCTAGAGCAGGGGGAAGATTGTCGAGAAGGACCTTCCCCCAGAGCTGACAGAGAGAGAAAACCTTCCCCTGGAGCTGGCATTCAGAGTTCTAGCCTGAATTCAGAGTTCTAGCCTCCTAGACTGTGAGAGAATAAATTTCTCTTTGTTAAATCCATCTACTTGTGATATTTCTGTTATAGCAGCACTAGATAACAAAGACAGCAGGCATCCTCATCTTGTTCCTGATCTTATGGATTTTTTCATAAAGGCCCTTTATCATGTTGAGGAATTTCCCTTCTATTCCTAGTTTGCTGGTGTTTTTATCACTGAAGGATGCTGGATTTTGTTATATGCCTTTTCTGCAATCAAACTGATCATGTAGTTCTTTTCCATCATTTTGTTAATGTGGTACGTTACAATGATTTTTCTTCTGTTGAACCACCCTGTATTCCTGGGGTAAATCCCACTTCGCCATGGTATATAATCCTTTTAATATGCTGCTGGATTTGGATTGCTAGCACTTTATTGAGAATTTTTGCACCTGTTTTCATAAAGGATATTGGTCTGTGTTTTCTTCTGGTGTCTTTATTTGGCTTTGGTATCACGGTAAAGCTAGCCTCACAGAGTGAGTTAGAATTGCTACCATCCCTTTTATTATTTTGGAGGAGTTTGAGAAGGATTGGTGTTGATTCTTCTTTAAATGTTTGGTAGACTTTACTAGTGAAGCCATCTGGTTCTGGACTTCCCTTCGTTGGGAGTTTTTTGATTACTGATTCAATCTCTTCACTTCTTATAAATCTACTGAGATAT